AATAAGCATGGTATATATTTAAAATGTGTGCAGAATGATAACATCACAAATCACGGTGTAAGTAAATCTACGTAATTTAAAAAAAAACAAAAAAAAAACTTTTTTTTTTTTTAAAACCAAGCTTTGTGATACAGTAAAGGATGGCAGAGTAAAATAAATATATTAAAAATGCAAAGCTAAATCAGAAATATTTTATTATGAAATACATATCACAAATGTGTATAAACACAGAGGGTACAATTCTTATGTGTTATATAAAAAGTTCCATGTTTGTCTAAATTTAATAAAATACGTAAATACTAATCATTAACTCTGTTTTGTGTTTCTACTATAAAAGGAATAATTAATAATATTGATGGATACATTGAAACAATAAGACTGTGAAAAGAGGGAGAGAAACTAACAAAAACAAAACAACACGTCTCAGCAACATTACAAATCTGCATTCTAAAAACCTAATGCTACTTGTTTTAACCAGCCAAACCATTACATCTTTGAGGTTGGTGTTTAACAAGTGAGTGCAGTAGATAGATATTTTATGAATTGGCACAAGCAGCACTCCTATAATATATAAATGTTTAGGTGAATGCAGGCTACCTGGTGTCATATGTGTACATTTGGGAGGCCAGGCCATCTCCCTTGGATTTGCTTCCACACTATGCCTATTAAGCCTTGTACTGCAAAGAGTCCCAGGAGGATGTATTTGCCAAGTAGGTGTGTTAACCTCATCAGAACACCCATTAGGTTGATAGAATAGATCCTGATATAATCTTCATAAAGATGCAATGGCACACAAAAGGTCACTTTCAATTTTGTTAGTGAGTGAGGGTGCTGGAATTTGGATGTATTGCATTTTAATGTAGTGGTTTTGGTGCACAGATACTGTCCATTTTATTGGACAATGTAACACAGCAATGTTTACATTTGTCTGAGAACACACCTCTAGAGATTAACAAACTCACAGACACGAAGACTAAGAACTTTGAGTTTTGAAGGCCTGCACACTTGCCATCATTACGCAATCCTCCAGGGGAAGCATTCTATTTGCGGAGTAGCCATAGGTTCTCAATGTATCTCTGTAAGGAGCATGTGATATTTGATAGGATATTTATTTACCACGGGCACAGCACTCAAAGTATCTCCCTGTCTTTTACTTGCCTTGGTATAAAACTCCTCGCTAAGACTTATACCATCCTAGAAAGAGTGCACTCAAAGGTCTTTGTTTAAAAAATATTCTTCTACTTTATTTTGCAGTAAATTATAGGCAGAGTGTGTTGACGTTTCAGCCCATCAACCAACTTTTTTCTCAATTACTAAATGAAGTTCAAAGAAAGATCTATTCAGCTATTCCTAGGACATATTGTTTTAGCTAGCTGAATAGATCTTTCAATGAACTTCATTTACTAATTGAGTATTAGTAGTTGTAGTACACCAAGTACCAAATATATAGTCTAGAGATCATGTAACTGAGCTGACAGATTTAACCCTTGAGGACCAAACTTCTGGATTAAAAGGGAATCATGACATCCTTAAGGGGTTAAATTCATATTGAGCCTCTCACACTTTACTCTCTATGCCCCGGTCTACTGCCCTTTTGTGTCTACCCCTTCCTCTCCCTGAATATCCAGCTTTTTTTTTTCCAATTTCCTTTTTCTATAGTTTGGTTTAGATCCAGCAACCCAAGTGACTTTTGCAGACTTTATTACGTTCTTTGCTTTGTCTTGCAACTATATTGAGAAAAAATAGCTAGAAAGGCTTTACATAGAGGGGAGTGGGGGGGAAGATTATCACCTAAATGGTTCTCTCTTACCTCCTGATGTTTTCTCCCATCAGGTTATAGCCTCTAGCTGCTTATATAATAAGAAGGTATTTAACCAGGAAAGGTACATTCAGATTACTCTGGTTTTTAAGTACGTCCTGGGGATGTTACTTCCCAGCTTACTTCTATACATCTAGTGCCAGCTATTCCTGCATTTTATCTTATGGGGAATCCATCTTTGCAGCTTAGTCATGCAGTATGTTACTCTTACAGCCACACTTTTAAATATTTGTAACATTGTGCCATTGGCAGCACACTTTTAAATATGGCAACATTGTAAATTTCATAAAAAATGGTCTCACTAAGTGAAGAATAATAGATCTTTTGAGGTTTCCTTTTTTGGGGCTCTCTCTTAGCAGATTAATGCACACTGCAATGTGAGTAAACTTTTCATACTCGTAGGAGAATAATAAATGCTAGTGGAGTTCTATAGGGTTTCTCCTATCTTTTTGAAACATAATGTGCATGCCCAGGATACACCTAGTAGTATTCTGCTGATTTTAGTGTCTAAATGTTTACTTCGGCACTTTCTCTTAGTTATATCAACATATTCTTTACTGTTAGAGTGTTCCTTTAATTTAGAACCAAAAGTTGATAGTTTACCGTGGCTTATGTACTATGGAATATTTAAAAAAATGGGACCATTGAGAAAACATTTTGGGATACAGAATTAAAAAAGTATTACTAATCATCCTATTGTCTCAGGAATTGAACCCGGTGGACGGAATAAATAAAAGTACACTATTTTCATCAGAGTATATTAATTATATTCAGGTATTTCATCATGACGAATAAATTGACATTTTCGAGGAATTTCCTTGAGAGTTGGCCATTCATCGTTTTTTATATTATTGTCACTTCCCAACTATATCAAACATAACCATAAATTCCAGCAATGCAGCTACTGCTGGAAATGGTGCTTGATTGTCTAAACATTTACATTCTGGTATGTTAGAGTTCTGCTTATTTATTGTTTTGATAGTTAGGGGGAGGGGGGCTGTGCAACTCCAACCTGGGATATACCGGTAATTATAAAGCCCTCATACCTATATATTTTATAAGGTGCAAAATACAAGCAAGGTTATTCACTAAAGTGTGAATCATTGGGAATGTATGGCCAAAGAAGCAGAACTGAATTCAAACATTGCTAACATGAGAATGTCTCACAATTTCTGCTTGAAATTCACACTAAACTCCTGACTATTCTTACGTTAGTCAATAATTGCATTACAAAATTCAGGGGGGAAAAAATAGGAAAAGAGAGAAAAAAAAATTACAAGCAAGCTATTTTCCAGTTTGGCTACCATGGCCGAAAATGTGAAATTCACTTATAAACTCAGGATGAAGACTTGACAATTCACACTTGTGTGTGAAAGGCTGCATATGTATGTGAGTTGCAGTTTTACTATGGCTTTTTATGTCTGGACAAACAACCTGGGGACAGTAAGCGCTCAGCATCAGGAGTGCAAAAGACTTCACTACTGATTGGGGGTGGTGGGGTGTGTATAAATATATATATTTTAACGTTTCAGTCCTCGTTTGGGACTTACACCAAGATCAATTCCAAGCACGGACTGAAACGCAGATCCACTTTTTTAGATGTGAAATAAAGACGGAATTGTATTTATTTTTTATTAAAGAAGACCGTGAGTGCAACTATTCTATTAAACTTGCTATTTATTGGTATTACTTCAGACATGAGGAAGAGAGGAAAACTCAGGAAAGCTTGTCTTTAAGTATTGTGTTAGTCCTATAAAATAAAAATTGTATTGTACACTGCAATTCTCTGGTATTTTGGTATCTTGTCTGCTGGACATGTTAGTCTAATCCAAACATATGAGATAGATAGAGATAGAGATATATATATATATATATATATATATATATATATTTATATATTTTTATTTTATTTTATTTTTTATATTGCACACACACACACACACACACACACACACACACACACACACACACTTCAACCTGAGGAAGAAAGCACAACTGTGGAAAGCTTGTATTTCAATTATTCTGTTAGTCCAATATAAAAGGTATCATTGCATACAGCAATACTCTATATTTTGCCATTATATATACACGCACAGCATATCTCTCTCTTTTCTATATTTTGCCATTAAATTATATATATATTTATATATATATATATATATATATATATATATATATATATATATAATTTCTATATTTTGCCATTATATACACACACACACTGTATATATATATCATATTTTGCCATTATATATCTATACACACACACACAGAGTATATGCATATATCATATTTCTATATTGTGCCATTCTATATATATATATAATTCAGGGCCAGTGTCCCCGGGCTCCATGCACACTCCATGTTCAGCTATCAGGCTGTGGTGACTGGAGAGGCTGCGGCTGATCAGGCTGTATGATGACAGGCTGTATGATGACTTACCGAGCTTCCCCCTGGAATCCTCCAGTTTCTGGATCTGGTTCTCCAGGAAGAGCATGGCGACCCCAAAGGTCAGCACCGCCAGCAGCTGCAACTTGGGCGGCATCATAATCCGTAAGAGCCCCATCAAACTGGTCTATGGCGACATAACGTGGGCACCGGGCAGTGTGCGGGAGGAGCGCGAGGAGCGGCACTGCGGCGACCTGCTGGACTCCCGCCGGGCCCCTGCCGCGGAGCCGGACGGAAAGGGAGCGGGGGGGGATATAAAGAGACAGTGCGCACGGGCTGCAGCTCCAGCGCGAACCCGCTCTCAGGATACACTGAGCATCCGCCGCTCTGCCAGCACTGCCAGCACCGTCCGCAGCATCAGCGCCAGCCCCCGGCGTAACACGTCAAAGAGACACGCCCCCACGGCGTGCCATGTCCCCCGACGTCGCGTCAAACGCTGGTAGATCGGTTGCTTGGCAACGTCACCCTGAAGCATGCTGCAACGCGATTGGCTCTTGCGCTTTGACTTTTTTTTCTCAAGTAACATTCATGCGGAATCCTAGCATTGGATGGAACACCGGTCTCTGGTTACACTCAAGGACCCCGATAGAAAGGGAAATGAGGTGTCCTCGGCGCGCCTGATAAATAAAGTTAGCATAGTACGGTGGAGGGGGGAATGTATTACTACCTACAGGCGATTTCTGACAGTGTTTTGTTTTGTTTTTTATGCATTGGATACATCGCCCTGCAGTATCAGAGATAACGTTGTCCCTGACGTCATGACGGAGTTTGGTTTTTCAGGCAGCGCCGCGGGCAGCCCGTTGTTGGTCCTTGCAGTAAGCAGCGCCGGCTGGGCTGGGGAAGATGGCGGTGCGGGAGATGTTGGTGTGGTTTGTCGCCGTGCTGCAGGCGGTAAGTGCGGCCTGGCTGGGGGCAGTGTGTGCCAGTTATGGTTGGTGTGTGTATTCCTAGTCCGGGCCGGCAGGTGGGCGCTGAGAGCTGGGAAGGGGCAGCTGAGGCTGCGGCTAGTTCGGCTCTGTTGGGATGACGTGGCTCTGGGAGCTTCCTGCTTCAGCTTTAACAATTGGAGCTCCACAAAGCAGATCGTTAAAGGACCACTATAGGCACCCAGACCACTCTAGCTTAATGAAGCGGTCTGGGTGCCAGGTCCAGCTAGGGTTAACCCTGCCTGTTGTAAACATAGCAGTTTCAGAGAAACTGCCATGTTTATAATAGGGTTAATGCAGCCTCTAGTGACTCTCATTGACAGCCGCTAGAGGCGCTTCCGCGATTCTCACTGTGATTTTCACAGTGAGAAGACGCCAGCGTCCATAGGAAAGCATTGAGAATGCTTTCCCATGAGACTGGCTGAATGCTCGCGAGGCTTTTTTGCCGCACATTCAGCCGATGACGGAAGAAGAGTGAGCCCGGCGGTGGAAAAAAGTTAAGGGATTAACCCCCATCCTCCCCCTTCAGCGCCACGGGAGTGGGACCCTGAGGGTGGGGGCATCATCTGGGCGCTATAGTGCCAGGAAAACGAGTGTGTTTTCCTGGCACTATAGTGTTCCTTTAATGCTAAGACTGATTAGCCATTACTGGTACGGTCAGGGCTCAGTAAAACATACCTTACACTTGGCAGTAACATTACAATCTGAAACTTGCAGATCTCTTCATTAAAGTGGGAAATTCACATTATATCTGAAAATAGGAGAATAATTAAAGACATAACTGAGATGAGATTTGCTTCCAGTACAACTACTGTGTACTGAAAGGTTGAAATTAGAGACACTATAATCCCCAAAACAACATTGTGACACAGTTTTGGTTATATAGATCATGCCTCTGAAGTTTCACTGCTCAATTCACTGTCATTTAGGAGTTAAATCACTTTTGTTTCTATTTATGCAGCCACTAGTCACAGCTCCCCTGGCTGTGACTAACAGCCTGCATGAAAACAAAATGGTTTCACTTTCAGTCAGATGTTAACTTGATTTAAAAGTTATCTCTTGTTCTGGCTCATGCAGATTCTCGAAGGTTATTAACAGAGAAAGAGATTTAAAAAGTCGTAAATTCCTCAGCAGAAACGTTTAACTCTTCCCATGCTTAGCCCTCCTAATTGGCTGAGATTGCCAACATTATGAATCCATTCACTATCAAAGCTGTAAAAAAATTCCACTCACTGGCAACTTGTCATAAATGGGGAAATCCGATTGTCTGACACATGTAGTTGCCATGGCTGGGAGGGTACATTGGGGTTGTCATGGCTGTTAGTGTAGACCCTTCCTTCACTTTCCAGTGCTCACTGGGTTCCCAGTCTATATTCTGACTTACTGAGTGCCAATGCAAAAAGGACAGATTACTGTGACCTGAAGGTGCAAACTACATGCTCCCTCACAGGTTGACTAGGGTCTCTTTTTCCCCTAGATAACATGAGTGTTAAAGGAACACTATTGGGTCAGTAACACACACATACTCCCAACCCTATTGTGTTCATACCACCATTTAGGTGGCTTGTCCCTTGTTAACCCCCTTAAAAGGTAATAAAACTTACCTTGTTTCCTGCACCTTGCACGTCCACTAGCGCTGGATCCCACCTCCTTGTTGACGTCATAATCTATAGGGGAAAGCATTGGATTGGCTGAAATCGGAAAGGAAGCAGGACCCTCCTCATAGAGATGTGTTGAATCAAAGCATCACTATGATGAACATTCAACATCTCCACGCAGAGTGTGCTGCGCACTGCCCCAGAAAGCACCTCCAGTGGCCATATGAAGAGTAGCCACTGGAGGTATCCCTAGACAGTAATGTAAACACTGTCTTTTCACTGAAAATGCCTGCAGGGTAAGGATAGACCTATTATCGGTTTGGCCAATATTCCTATTTTTGGAAAATATCGGTTTCAGCCATTGTTGATACTGATATTGCTGATAATGTGAGAGGCGACAGTGGCCCAGCATCGGGCGGAACACATGGTCACAGAGCGTACCGGCTCTGGGTGCGCAAGAATCGAGTGACCGGCAGGAAGGAAGCGCAGAGCACTCCCCCTACCAGTCACTCGGTGTAGCGTGGTCGAGTGGAGGAGAGTGGTCTGCGGTAAAGGAGCTTCAGTTTCCTGTACCCGACTGACTGACAGGAAGTGCTCACAGAGAGCACTTCCTGTCAGTCTGGCTGGGTACAGGAAACTTAGGCTCCCGTACCGTGCTCCGCTTGGCCGTGCTACAAGAAGGATAATGTGGCACACCAGCGAGGGGAGAGGACCACTAAAGAGAGGGGAGAGGTACTTTAAGGGACAGGGAAAGGAGATCACTAAATTTTGTTGAAAACAAAAAAATATGACTAGCATGTATATTTTGTGCATTTACCACTTAATAAAAAAAGATTTACAAAAATAGATAAATAATCAACATGTTCAGTTAACAGTAGATTTTGAAAAAATTTTACTTTTTGAAAAAGTAAGTTATCGGCTATCGGCCTGAAAGTTCACAGATTATCGATATCGGCTCTAAAAAAATCAATATCGGTTGATCCCTACTGCAGGGAATGATTATACTCACTAGTACAACTACATTAAGCTGTAGTTGTTCTGGGGACTATAGTGTCCCTTTAAATCTCCATTGGAATCCCAGTGACCATAGCACCACTTTCTGCAGAAAGTGGGGGAGCACAAATGCATAACATACAGCCAGCATTTACACACATAACACAATTGCCACGCACTATTTGGTTGGCAGAGGATGAGAAACTCATGGATATTCACTTAACTTGATTTTTTTGCAAATTATATCTGAAAATGGAAAACTGAGGCAAAAAGTTGTGACTGTGGCTGAGTTGGAGATTTAATTGAGGCATTTTGTGCCAGACTGTAAAGATTCTGTTTGTTTATAAAGCATTTTCATTTGTGTTTTAGATCTCAACATATGGAGCTGAACTTTCTTCTGAAGCCTGCAGAGATGTTGGCTTCTCTAGCAATTTGCTGTGCAGTTCCTGTGACCTACTTTCACAGTTTAGCCTGAATGAAATATCTTCATCTTGCAGGCAGTGCTGTCAGGAGGAAGCACAATTTGAATCGAGAAAGGTATATTTAAAGACCCGTGTGTACATTCAATGCGTTAGACCAGTTATAGCGAACATTTTTGAACCCAAGTGCCCAAACCACAATACAAACTACCTTTTTTTCTGAAAGTGCCAACACGGCAATTATACACACTGACACCCACAAATAAATACACACACACCCACCCCATACTCACAGACACTCTTAGTGCTCTACCATCCCCTCCTGTCCGTTAGTTCTCTTTCCGGCACCCTGTGATCTTCCCTGCCCCACTGTCCCTTAGTGTTCTCCTCTACCCTTTGTCCATTAGGGCTCTCCCCTCCCTTACCTTAGAGCTGTCCCTTAGTGGTCTCTCCCCTCCCCCTTAGTGGTTCTCTTCTCCTCTGCCCCCTACCTTTAGTGGTTCTCTCCTGTTCCCCTGCCTAAGTCGCGATCCGGGACACGTGGGCACCTTACCAGTGACCTATGTCTGCATGCTCACAGAGAGGGCTCGGCGTGCCAGCTGTGCCACGCATGCCATAGGTTCGCCATCGCTGTGCTATACTATCCAAGCTAGTTACTCCCAACAACTATCTTTTTGACTGTAATGTAATAACTTAAATGTTTCACTAAATTTCAGGTAAAACGTTTTTTATTTAGTACTTACATTTTTAAAAAAAATAATTTAATTCTGCATACAGCATATTTAGTATTTATATAATACCAACACAGTGAAATCCCAACACAGTCAAAATGAATATTTGATAACGATTCTATCTTCATAAAATGCCAATTTTTCTGAGAGAGTGACAGTGCTGCTTTAAAGGAACACTCTAAGCACCTAAGTAACTTTAGATTAGAGTTTATGCATATACTCCTGCCTTGTCACTGTATAAGTGATGTACACCTCTATAGGTGTGTGTATGTGTATAACTGCTTGGCACTCTCCTTATGCTTTACAACACGCTGTATACTGCATGTGGACCACTCAGTGAAACTAAGAAGTCATGTGAGGGCATCCTCTATTATTGTGTGTGTTTCCTCTACCCGTGTGTGTGTGATTCACATGGCCTTCATTAAAGTAAATGTTTCATTTTTACAGCACAGTGTGTTTACTTTAGGAATCTAATTATTACATGATTGTATAGCATTTTTTGTTTCTTCATGTTTCACTCTGGTGTGTGTCATTTTTCGATATGTTTTATATTGTTGTTTGTCCTAAAAGAGTGGACTTTCACTTTACTTTTTCACCAGCAGCAAATTGAATGCAACTTAAGTCATATTTCTTTACACCTTTTGGCTGTTTCACACCCTCTCCCCTTGCTTTTCTTTCCAATTGACTCTGGGCAGCATCAGACAGTCCCTAGTCCCAGCGGCAGTACTACAGCAGGGATTTGCATTTGTCCCTTTGTTGGTTTTTTTCCCCTTACCTGTAGTAGGGGTGTCTGCAGGGGTGCAGAATAAGGTAGTTGCGCTATAGGTGATGTACTTGCCATGGAGCCTGCACTACCTGTGAAGCTCTCTGAGCTCTGGTCTGGTCAACAAGGTGGTTATTTTGCCTCAGATGCTGCAAAACCTTATTGGAATGCTGGAATTATAGTAATGGTGTGTATTTCACGTAACTCATTCTCACTCGCCTCACTTTCGTCGGAAATAGAGTAGGAGCCAGTAACAGGTCGGGGGGGGGATTGCGTTCCACTGATGACACGCTTATGCAAATGGTTTGGGGGGTTAACTTGGCACCTAAACTTGATTTATTTTTTTAAAGAGTGCTGAAGAGTGTCTTGACTGGCAGATGCAGTTCAACACGCAGCAGCGCCATCACCTATTCGCTTGGTGACTCCTTAATATCTGTAACATTTATAACAATACTGCTAATGAAGTTTAAAAAAAATAGATAACGGGCATTCACTGGTATTCAAAGGGTGCTTTTTTTTGTGTGTGTGTCTTCAAAAATCAGCTTTGCTACAAATGACGTTTTAACCCGTTCAGGTCTTTATCAAGATCAGTGTCAATACAAATGTGTACATATATAAGAAAATACATAAACGACTTTCCAATCAAGTGATAGGACAGCCTGAAGACCCGGAAGTGTCGGGAAAACATTGTTGCGTGAACTAGCGTGGTTGCTAGGTAACTATCTCCTGTGAATAAACATTCGTATACCGTGGTTGCTAGGTGAAGGAAACACAAAGGTTACGTGAACCGGGTTCTAGCACGAAGCATTAGTCATAGTGCATGTATATACATAGAAGAGAACAAATGGTATGAGGGAAAGTGGGAAAAAAAACAGTGTACAAAATCCAAAAATGTTACTGCAATATATGAACACACAGAAATGTAAAGTGCAGGTGGCTGAGAGTGATAGTAAAGGGGTAGGGGAGTCAAACAAGTCCATTCTGGTAAATCCAAAGAGACTATGGTGTGCTATAAACACAACGTCTCGGGTACATATTTCATAACCTGTACACGTTTACACATTATCAAATAAATAAAACAAACATAATACACACTTATCATTGTATTCAGTTAATTTAGAGTTGGGTATATAAAGATCCAAATCTCCTATCTCATGTACTTCACGTATTATGATCAAATTCCCCATTATTCCGTGGTGCATGGGTTCTGTGAAAAGGCAGTGTTTACACTGAAATGCCTGCAGGGACAGGCCATAGACACCAGAACTACATTAATCTGTTCCTTTAATTTATTATTCTCTCTCCCTTGCCACTAGCCTTTTATTTGTATTTCATATCTTTTCTACTCTGGGGGGCCCTCTGTAGCTAAGAGCAGGCCTTTTGTTGTTCTCTGACCCTGATGTTACTATTTGCCATTTTTTGAGATTGATATTATGCATGAATTGTGGGTAAATGTCAAGTTTTGCCAAATTCACTGTTTCGCATAAGGAAAACTCGAGCAGTTAAGAAACAGGGAGCTATATTGAAGCAGATTAGATCAGGTCCATTTTTGTATTTTTGGTGAAATAGCCTCTTTAAAAAGAGAGAATGCTGACCTTTAAAAATTCCTATGGAATTTCCAGCAGTGAGCTCTGTCCCAACTAGGACACCGACCAGCCAATCCTAACATTCCAAAGTGTGTGTGTGTTTTTTGGTTATTTTATATAGAAGTGGTGAGCATATCCCATAAATCCCTACTTCAAGAGAAATATGTGGAATATGTAGATAGTTCAGGACTAGTCAGGACTTTAGTTACATGCCACTGTAAGTCATAGTATTGATCACTAGGGGAGGTTTTCTACTCGCCAAGGCTAAATTTTCACGCACCAATGGTTAGTGTCAAGTGGAAATGTTGAACCTTGAGTTAGTTCATCAAAAAATGTGAAGTTCCTATCCAAGCTTAAAGAGAAACATTGAGGACACATGGTGCGTGTGGCACTACAGCTCATGCCACTAAATAAATGCCTCTTGTTGAGGCGCATTGAAGGGTAATCTTCACACTTGCAGGCCCAGCCTTCGAAGAGCAGCGCCTGACAGTCTATTCAAGTCAAAATAATTAAAAGCTGATACTGCAGGGACACTATAAAAGTACAATATCCACTTCATTAAAATGAAGTGATTATGTTGCCTAGATTGTTACTTAAAAAAACTGGAGACATAATATGACATTTGTCGGTACATAAACCAAGCAAGTGTAAAAATTAACTATCAATCTCAATACCAAATGAACAAAAAGACCTGGGTTCTTAAAGGGATACTAGTTTCTGGCACTATCCCCAGATTTACATTACTGGGTTAAATACAGCTCTAGTGACTGTCAGAAAGAAGAGCTTGTTTTTTGGTTGTTTTTTTTTTTTTAAATCAATATTTATTTTATTGAGCATTAGAATAGTTCAGATAGTACAACATAGATAATTTGCAATGAATATGATAGTTCAACTAATGACTGCTCGTTTTAAGAAATGATACCGGATATTAATAGCCTAGCAATTGTGCAAATGGTACATGGCACAAGTAAACAATCTGCCTAGTCTGAAATTAGTACCATAATGTTGAATAATAGGATGCTTAATGGTACTTGAGTGAGAACTATAAGGACCAAGATTGGTCAAATCAACACACGTTTGTTGACACCCAGATAGAGTGAGAGCAGAGAAAAGAAAACCATAAGACTGGAAACCAATAAATAAAATAAAAAATAGATATTAAACCATAACACAGTGCAGCAAATGTGGTTTTATGCTTCACAGCCATATCACAAAAGTAAGACGAAGAGCGTGTGCTCGTTATCAAATACACATAGACTATAGAGGGAAACATCTCCATGGCTAGTGTGTTATAAGGGAAGGAAGTGGCCTACTCCCCCATCTACATCTAGATTAGGCCACAATCACGGGAGCTGTAATCTCCTCTCAGAGGAGCTGAAAATCAAGATGAAACTGTTTGGAGAATAGCACCAAGCTCTAAAGCCTGGACCCCAGGCAGAAGGTGCATATTGCGAGTAACAATGCCAGTAGATAGCCGCTTGGACAAAAGATCAGAGGAACTTTTCATTAATTTTTTTAATTATCCGTATCATGCTTTGTGAATGGGTGCTCAAACCCACCCTGTGGTGTTTCTTTAAAATCTATCAATTATTTGTTCTGAAAGAGGTTAAAAACATTATTTCTGACTAGTGCAGGTTTTCTGCTGCAAATGCAGAATGTTTTGGGTGTCAAATAAAGAACGATGAGTTGGAGGTGAATCTAACTATGCGTGAAATTGTAGCAGTACAAAAGATTGCCCACATTTGAAAGTTTCTAAATTTAGCTAGTGGATTAAAGATGGAGATATCACCATGTTCTACCTCATACCAAAAATGAAACCGTGTTTTGAAATAAATCGGCACATTTTCAAGAAAGAAATAGGTTTGGTTTGTGTTTTTTTATTTATTTTTTTTTTTTTATTACAGTATAATAGAAGCAAGTAGGTGCAATTTTTAAAAAATATATATATATATATTTTACAATAATCTATAAAACTTTACAAATCTTGGGACATTATGCAACAAGTATAGCCTGCTTATGGAAAACATCTATAGTAATATAAATGAAAAGTGATTGTACTGGTGTATAGTTTCTCAACACGTGGTGCATATACCCCAAGGAGTATGCCAAGAGCCAAACGGTTGGCCACCTTGGCATTCCATTCTCACTGTACCGTGTTATGTTAATTATAAAATAACTGAGAACAATGTTGAGCAGGCAAGATCACTTTTGGGCCCATACATCACTTTTTAAGAAATGGGTGAACGGATGATAAACCAGAGTGGTTCTATATCTTATAGCGTGACATTTGTTGTTTTTTTGTTTTGTTTTTTTATAAATGGGTTTTTTTTTTTTTTCTTCATTGGTCATGTAGTCTGGAATCCATAAAAGTAGTTTGGTGTATTACTGATTTAGAAGAAATTTCATTAGAAATTACATTAGTTGTTTTAAACCTCACTATTCAGAATTTTAAATTAATTTGATTGTATTCCCTTTAGTGAGAAGTAATAAAGCACAGCTGTTGTCTCCATAATTCTCATCCCTTCTTGTTAGAACACAAGCATTCTTGATTATGTCTTCAAATACCACACTAAAAAAAAAAAAATGCAGGCTTGCTGTATGTGATTCTTTTGTATTCTATAAAGAGAACAGTCTAAAAAAAAAAAAAATAATAACAAAGATGGATTGTTTAAATCGGATGCTGCATATGGTCAGGGTTTAAAAGGCAAATTACAATTCATATTTAATAAAGGGAGAGTTCATTTAAATTTAGAACCAGATCTGTAATTTGCTCATTACTCATCACATTTTTGGCAGTTAATCATATTATCAAATGGTAATTAGTGGGGGGTTTTTTCCTTTTGTTTAGAAAGTGTGTTATCATGTATATATGATGGCATTTGTGTATAATTGTGCCAGGAAAAAAAAACCTGTAAGAACTGGTGACATTTTGATTCTCAGTTGCATGCGCTACAAGACCTCTAAGAATACATGTACATTTAAGATAGCATCTTTGAAATCCTACACCCTGTATGTTTTATTTGTGTATATTGGTGCTTAGGGGTACACCATTTAGTAGGTTTTCTTCTTCTTGCATATAGTTGAGATATTGTACATAGCCTCGTACAGTTTGCACATTGGGTCCTTTCTGGGGTGGTAGACCTCTATTTATAACAATCTGGTGCTGAGTGCCTGTTCCTGTGCAGCTAGCATTAGTACCTCAGAGTTGTCTTTCAGTCCTGCTTCTTCCAACTACTTGTAGAATTCTGTGATGTGAGCCACATCCGCAATCTACAGATGTTGCTTCTCTTATGGAGAGGTCTGTCAAACCATTGAACCTCTTCTTTATCCATCGTGTTCAGCTCTTATCTTGACTAGGAGCCGCACTTTAATAATAATCTAATTACTGGTAGGACGTATTTGTTGATGGAATGTACTTGTAGTTGTTCTCTATGGCTCCGATTTGGCCTTCTGGCAATTAAGTCCTGATGATTTTTCCTGTCATCTGGCCATACGTATCTAGTCTGGTTGCCAGTGCTGTCACCTTTTGCTTGGTTGTTTCCAGAGCCTCTGGTACGGGTACACACTTGTAATTTAGCAGTAGCCAGAATCTGTAATTTTTTTTAATTTAAATTTTTTTTCTTTCCACCTCTGTGAAATGCATGGAGCTTATGAGTTGACTTTTTGGCTTATTTTCTTAGTCTTTATGGTGGGCATTGTCTCTTTCATCCTGACCTTGTAGTCAAGTATTTGAATGCTGTGTCATATATGAGCTGATGGGATGAGAGTCTGTCTGCAGAGCTCTATCTCCCCCTCCTCTTTCAGAGTGTCTTCAGCCCTCCCAGCCGTGCAGTCAGTAAGCTGGGAGGAAGTAACAGTCACTTCCTCCCAGCACTCTCTGCTCGGGAGGGACTCAGTATCTGCTCTCTGCAGCCTTCCATCCTCCATGCCGCACGATCTCAGTATGCATTCGCTCCATAAGACGCACAAACATTTCCCCTTACTTTTGAGGAGCTCTTATGGAGCGAAAAATACGGTATGTGTGGATAATAAAAGTGAATAATAATGGTTTTGATTGTAACATGTTATAAACATAGAATGTGACAGCAGATAAGAACCATTCGGCCCATCTAGTCTGCACAATTTTCTAAATACATTCATTAGTCCCTGGCCTTATCTTAGGTCTAGGATAGCCTTATGCCTATCCCACACATGCTTACACTCCTCACTGTGTTAACCTCTACCACTTCAGCTGAAAGGCTATTCCATGAGTTCACTACCCTCTCTGTAAAGTAATAATTCCTGAAATTATTTTTTTAAACCTTTGCCCCTCTAATTTAAGTCTGTTCTCCTGTGGTGGTAGTTTTTCTACTTTTAAATAGTCTCCTCCTTTACTGTGTTGACTTCCTTTATGTATTTAAATGTTTATATCATCTCCTCCCTGTCTCGTCGTTCCAATCTATACATGTTAAGATCCTTTAACCTTTCCTGGTAAGTTTTATCCTGCAATCCATGAACCATATCAGCATATTTGTTTTTTGTGGCAAAACCATTTTTGTATTTTTATCACAGTAAAAAAAATAGTTTCACTCACTTAATTAACTAGACCTTAGTGTTGTATTGCGAATATAATATGTTATATTAATATATTCTACATTTTTTTTCTTTTTCCAATATAGCGATATGCAGGAGCTATACTTGAAGTTTGCGGATGAAAATTGGGGAGGTTCCCTCAAGTCCAGGGTAAGTACGCAGTACAATATTTGATCATTTGTAGAAAAAAATATGTTTTCCACTCTTGTGTTTCACAGTATCTTAAGTTAACAAATGACTTTTCTGTCCATTTAATTGTATCCAGTTGTCATTCATAGCAGTGCTTGGAACACACATACTCATTCTCTCCCTCTCCCCTCTCCCTCCCTGTCTCCTAGCTTGTTGTTTGGCTAAGTCTAACATTAGGGTTACATTAATTGTTTCCAGCTACTGCCCTTTACATAGAGAGAGAGTATCCTCTTCTTGTCATTTGGTCTGTTTTTTTCAGTCACTCATGCACTGTACAATGTAATGTTCTATCTCTAGGTGAAAAATTTGGCACCTCTCCAGGTTAATTAGTTTTATTATTTACATAATTCTCCACTTATATAAATACATTCAAAAGTGTACTGCTGCTCAGTATCTATATATCATCAACTCTCCCAGAATGCCATGCACAGTATGCAAATAAATATTAAAGGAGCACTATATGGTCAGGAACACAAACATGTATACTTGATTCTCTAGGGTTAAACCACCATCTTGCCACCCTGGTCCCCTAATGCCTCCTTAAATATAGTAAATCTTACTTGTATTCAAGGCTGAAGTTGCTGGCTTTGTCACTGTTTACTTTTGACCTGCCTGCTGACATCATCAGAAGTGGTAGCCTGATCCACACATAATGCTTGCTCATAGGATTGGCTGAGACTGACAAAGAGGCAGATCAGGGGCAGAGACCGCGTGATTCAAACACAGCCCTGGCTAATCATCATCTCCTCATAGAGATGAATTGAATCAATGAATGTATATGAGGAAAGTTCAGTGTCTGCATGCATAAGGAGACACTGATTGTTTGGATGCATTTTAGGCAGCCATGACCCAGGAACGATCTCTAACTGCTATCTTAGGAGTGGCCAGTGAAGTTATCACTAGGCTGGATGTAAACACTGCATTTTCTCTGAAAAGACAGTGTTTACGGCAAAAAGCCTGAAGGTAATGATTCTACTCACCAGAACAAATCCAATAGGCTGTAGTTGTTCTGGTGACTATAGTGTCCCTTTAAATAGTACTGACATTGCCTCAGCTACTCAAGTCAGTGGGATGTCCTCTATAGTTTGCTGTTACTGTACTGTCTTTTTGTCATTGCCATGGCCGTCCCTCCATGCTGCTTTACAGCAACCATTATGAAACTGCATCAAGCAACATTACATTCTATTTTTGCATTCAAAGAACAGGCCAACTATTCAAGATGCTTTTCCCTTGGTTTTTATTTTTTGGTGTTTTTTTTGTTTTTGTTTTTTGAAAAGACACCTTTCCATGGTCACATTTGTCAGATAAGTTTCCACCCATTCTTTTTTTTTTTTTTTTTAATTCAGTTCCACTTTAAGCTTATGTTTTAAGAGGATAACAAAAAAGAGATCAGAGATATGAGTTATGAAAAGATTGTAAAATCTGTGTTCTCTGATCTAGTTAATCTAAATAGATGACATGAGTAGGTGATATATCTCTTGCTTTGTTCATACCATCAGACATCCTGTAAGTTAGCAGAGCATGATGGAAAATGTAGTGCTCCACAAGCCACTGCAAAGATAACGCTAGCCAGCCCTGTCATCTTCAGTTCTAGTCAACAAAAGACAAGAACTGCCATAGTGGCAGAATAGTTTTAATTATTTTGTGTCCTTCCGTTTCCTTGTTACAGCTGCAGTACTCCTTTGCAACCAATTCACTTTTTAATGTATCTTTCCTTGTCTGGTGTGTTACCATGGGGATTGAAAAACACATTTCCTGATGAATTGTGTTATGTTTAATTATCTCATTCAGTTGCATGGTTTGTAAGACATTAAAAATAATTAGGTTTCCTAAAGAAATATGACCTGACCAATTAGATAAAATCCCCATTGTCTTATTAGAACAGATGAAGTTAGAATTGCTGGACCAAGAAGAAATATGTAGCCCAATTCATTTTAGGACTTTGTAATGCTTCCATTACAATATCAAGGTTGCTTAGCATCCCACAGGGCCTAGCACATTAACATACTTTGTATTGTAAGTAAGTGTATATGTAACTCACATCCGTTTCCCTGTAATGCAGCTAATCGATTAGATATCATTTGCTGCAGCAGCCCTGATCAAACCTAAATTTAAGTAAATTTTTATATAACTAATTTTTGAGAAGTTTCAATTCACAAATGTGAAAATGTAAGATATTTCTAGATTTTTACTTTTATTGCTCCAAGCTGCCACAAAGGTATCTGTGCATTTTCTTGGACCTGACTTTGAATCTAGTTCTTGTTGCATTCTAATTGGCTTCTTTGTGTTTTTTAGAATATCGCTTTAGTTGCAGGTATCGTATGGGTTATTGTTTTCTTTTCTTTTTTACCACACTCTTCTTCCTCCCCCTTTCTCTGCAGTAAAAATATATAACTAACCAACAAATACATTATGGCACATGTGCCTTGTAGCTCAGAGATACCTGAGGTGGCACTTGCTCTCTGCCTTAAGTAGACATCTATACTGCAGACTTTCTTAAGTGTGTCATGCGTAGGTGCTTAACTACCCATGGAATCATCATCATCATCATCAGACAACCTTTCAACCTCTGCAGAAAGAAATGCTACATGGGGAAAGGCTTTCTTACTGCCAAAAGAAAGTATGCTGCTATTGAATGGTGTGATGCTAATATAGAGGAGGGTGGGCTGAGGTGACTGATGTTGAAATAGACACTGATATGGCAAGGGAGAAGAGATGGGGTTGTTGTGTTAATAAAGGGGGATTTTGATCCATTCTAAAGAGTGGCAAAAGGTTACACACCTAGCATAAAGAGGTGTGTGGGAATGCAAGGGATTGAAAATGAATACTGAAACTGAACTGGAAGAGAAATGAGTATTTAATTGGTATATATGAAAGTGGAAGACACAATTGGTACAGAGAAAGGAATGCATAATTAGAATGTAGGGAGGATGAATCTAGCACAAATAGGAGTTAAGACACTGATGTTGATGGAGGAACTGGATGCAAGAATGTAAGCACAGGGCTCACATATTGAGGGAAGCTTAGGAAATTAAGTAACAGGATAGGAAAGTGGAAACTGAGATCGGGAACATTTTATACAATGCAAAAATGGGTGTGCGTTTTCTAGGTTGAAAACATACTAAAGTCCATCAAGTTCAACCCTGAGACATCACGTGCAAAGTAACATCCACATGAATGCCTGGAACCAAGGTTTCCCAGCAGAACATTGTCTAGAGCATAACACTGCCTCTACCAGCTTGCCCTCTTCCCCAGGGAAATGACACGCACACACCCGGCCTTCCACCTGATCTAAAAGAAAATTAATCAGACCAGGCAACCTTCTTCCATTGCTCCATGGTCCAGTTCTGATGCACATGTCCCCATTGAAGAAGCTTTTGGCAGTGGACATCATGGGCACTTTGACTGGTCTGCGGCTACACAGCCCCATGTGCAGCAAACTGCAAGGCAGTGTGTTCTGACCCCTTTCTATCATGGCCAGAATTATTATTATTTTTTTATCAATTTGAGCTACTGTAGCTCTTCTGTGTAATCAGACCATACCGTCTAGCCTTCACTTCCCATGTGCATCAGTGATCCCTGTGAGCCTAAGACTCTGACTCCGGTTTACCAGTTGTCTTTCTTGCACCACTTTGGTAGGTGCTAACCACTGCATTTTGGGAACACCCCATAAGGTTTGCTGTTATGAATATACTCTGATCCAGGCATCTAGTCATCACTATTTAGCCTTTTAAAGTCACTCAGATATTTTCGCTTACCCATTTTAACTACTTCCAACAGATGAAATTCAAGAACTGTTTGTTTACTTGTAACAATATAATCAATGTTATTCATTTCATTTGTCATTGGTTTTAATGTTGTGACTGATCAGTGTATTTCTGCAAACTTGTCACTCAGGCTTAGACACATTCAACTTTTCAATGTGCTATTATTCTTTATGTAAAATCCATTTATAGTGAGGCATCACAAAATCTTTTAGAATTGGATTAGTACAATTGCATTTATTTGTATACATCTCTCCTGAAGAATTCAAGGTATGTTGTTGTTTTTTGTCTTTCACAGCTTTTGTCAGGAGTGAGAAGCCCAAGCTTTTCAAGGGTCTGCAGATTAAGGTACTTTTCATTTTGTCCGTTTTTTGTGCATCTATACACAACTGCTTCATTAAGCTAAAGTTGTTTTGGTGACTATAGTGTGCCTTTAATATAAAAAAATAATAATTATACTTACATGTAATCCAACACTGAGACTATCTCCTCTCAGCGGCCACTCCACTGTCTTTGAGATCACATTGATGATCTTGGTCTGTTCAACTCAGATCTACATCACATGTGCAGCAATTACTGAAATCTTCTAACCAAGAGCTTCTCTATGAGAAGCAACGAATGAGTTAGACATCATCATGCTCTGTGTGAAGACTTTCTATTTTTAATATTCTAAAGGAGGAAGTGCCTGTAGTTGCTTTCTGTCTGACAACCAGTAGAGGTGTATTCTCTGGAAAAATATATTGCTGTTTCTCAGGGGGAAAAAAACAATGGTTTACATTGCTAGAGAGAAGGGACAGCATCTATTCACCAAAATAACTACATTAACGAGTAGTGGCACTGATGCTGATTTCCTTTTAAATCTTCTTTGTGATATGACACTTTGATCTATCGCATAGTCTTGGATACTTTAATACTGCATTGTCACTGTTATTTTGCTTTTTCAGTATGTGCGTGGATCCGATCCTGTGCTAAAGTTGCTGGATGACAACGGGAACATTTCTGAAGAACTGAGCATTCTTAAATGGAATACAGATAGCGTTGAAGAATTCTTGAGTGAAAAGCTACATCGAGTTTAATTCCTTTTTTTTATCATTATTGATCCACAAATCCTGCTAGTGCAAACTATTGTGTTTTTCTTTGCAGCCATTTATGTTTGTATTTCTTTATGTGGTGATAGAGGGCAAAGAAAACAAAAATCAAACATTCTTGAAAACTTGTTGGAAGATCACATGTGGGACCAGGTGCAGTTTTTAAAGGTGGTAGGATTGGTTGTAACCGCTCTATTCCTAGCTTAAAGAGCCTCTGTACCATCCTTTGAATAGAGTAGTTCACAAGCTACAAAAATTAAACAAGTGTAATGATACATAACCAACAATTTATCATGTATTTGACATATGGCTGCATTTTAAGACACATTTAATTTAATATTCATGTGCACAGTGTCTCGCAAACTAATCTATTTTGGTGAGGCAAAAATGATATACTTCCTTAATCAAATATAGCACAACCTCAGAGTTAAAATTAACAAATTTCTTCTATTTTAGCTAGAAACGTTTTCAAACCTAAACTGTGGGTCAGAATTATTGAAACAACCGCTTTTGTACAGTTTTTCAGTAAGGGAAGCAAAGATCTTTTTATAGGTGCACTGTGCCATAAACACAGGATGCCATTCATCAAAAGTGATTACTAGTAAGCTAGATTTCATGCAGAAACTGCCTTAATCTTTCCATGATCAGTTTTTGTTAGAAATGTGCACATTTGGTGCGTTCGGCAAGCAGTTGGGCAGTGTTTATGGCACTTGGGTAAAATTGAGCATGGTAGCTCTTTAGATGAATTTCACCCTGTCCTTTTAGTGCCCTTTTTGAGTTCATAATCATTTTGTATTTCTGCTTTTTCTAGATGTTATTTACAGTATCTTGCAAATGCGGGATCTTTGAATGGACGTGTTGTTTTGTGATTATGAAAGGACTCTGTTCATTGCAGTAGATGTGACACATTAAGGTCATACACTTTAGTGAAGGCTACACATAAAACCTTTAAAAAAAGGCTTGTGAATGTCTGATGTCCTGTGTAATGGCTCAAAATGTCTTGCTCTACTGCATTAAATATGAGTTGGATGGACTGATCTGTTAAAGAAAGATGGTTAAAAAAAATAATAAACATTTTCCACGTTTTCTGACATTGGGTTTCATTGTTGGTTTTGTGTGTTTTGTAACTTTCTCGAATGTGTCTGGGTTTATGCAGATAGTTTCAGCCTGGCAAAAGGTCAAAGCATGCCCTCTGTTTCTGGCAAAACTTTTCTGCAAGTACCAGAATGAAAGGATTTCAAAATACTTTGCTAATCGTCACATTTTACATGGAAAAAAGACATAGAAACATAGAAACATAGAATGTGACGGCAGATAAGAACCATTCGGCCCATCTAGTCTGCCCAATTTTCTAAATACTTTCATTAGTCCCTAGTCTTATCTTATAGTTAGGATAGCCTTATGCCTATCCCACGCATGCTTAAACTCCTTTACTGTGTTAACCTCTACCACTTCAGCTGGAAGGCTATTCCATGCATCCACTACCCTCTCAGTAAAGTAATACTTCCTGATATTATTTTTAAACCTTTGTCCCTCTAATTTAAGACTATGTCCTCTTGTTGTGGTAGTTTTTCTTCTTTTAAATATAGTCTCCTCCTTTACTGTGTTGATTCCCTTTATATATTTAAATGTTTCTATCATATCCCCCCTGTCTCGTCTTTCCTCCAAGCTATACATGTTAAGATCCTTTAACCTTTCCTGGTAAGTTTTATCCCGCAATCCATGAACCAGTTTAGTAGCCCTTCTCTGAACCCCTCTAAGGTATCAATATCCTTCTGAAGATACGGTCTCCAGTACTGTGTACAATACTCCAAGTGAGGTCTCACCAGTGTTCTGTACAATGGCATGAGCACTTCCCTCTTTCTACTGCTAATACCTCTCCCTATACAACCAAGCATTCTGCTAGCATTTCCTGCTGCTCTATTACATTGTCTGCCTACCTTTAAGTCATCAGAAATAATCACCCCTAAATCCCTTTCCTCATATGTTGAGGTTAGAACTCTATCAAATATTCTGTACTCTGCCCTTGGGTTTTTACGTCCAAGATGCATTATCTTGCACTTATCCACATTAAATGTCAGTTGCCACAATTCTGACCATTTTTCTAGTTTACCTAAATCATTTGTCATTTGGCTTATCCCTCCTGGAACATCAACCCTGTTACATATCTTAGTATCATCAGCAAAAAGACATACCTTACCATCAAGACCTTCTGCAATATCACTAATAAAAATATTAAAGAGAATGGGTCCAAGTACAGATCCCTGAGGTACCCCACTGGTGACAAGTCCAAGCTTCGAATATATTCCATTAACTACAACCCTCTGTTGCCTGTCACTCAGCCACTGCCTTACCCATTCAACAATATTGGAATCCAAACTTAAAGATTGCAGTTTATTGATAAGCCTTCTATGTGCAACAGTGTCAAAAAGCCTTACTGAAATCTAGGTAAGCAATGTCTACTGCACCACCCTGATCTATAATTTTAGTTACCCAATCAAAAAAATCAATAAGATTTGTTTGGCATGATCTCCCTGAAGTAAACCCATGTTGTCTCTGATCTTGAAATCCATGTGTTTTTAGATGTTCATCAATCCTATCCTTTAACATGGTTTCCATCACTTTCCCCACTACTGAAGTAAGGCTTACTGGCCTATAGTTGCCCGACTCCTCCCTATTACCTTTCTTGTAAATGGGCACAACATTCGCTAACTTCCAATCTTCTGGGACTACTCCTGTTAACAATGATTGGTTAAATAAATCTGTTAATGGTTTTGCTAGTACACCACTAAGCTCTTTTAATAGCTTTGGGTGTATTCCATCAGGTCCCATTGACTTATTTGTCTTTACTTTTGACAGTTGAAATAGAACCTCTTCCTCTGTAAACTCACGTGTAATAAATGACTCATTTATCCTTTTTCTCAACTGAGGTCCCTTTCCTTCATTTTCATCTGTAAATACAGAACAAAAATATTCATTGAGGCAGTCAGCTAGACCTTTATCCTCTTCTACATACCTTCCTTCTTTGTTTTTAATCTAACTAATCCTTGTTTTACTTTTCTTTTCTCATTTATGTATCTAAAAAATGTTTTATCCCCCTTTTTTACTGACTGTGCTATTTTCTCTTCTGTGTGTGATTTGGAAGCTCTTATAACTTGCTTAGCCTCTTTCTGCCTAATCTTATAGATCATTTTGTCTCCCTCACTCTGGGTTTTTTTATAATTCCTAAATGCTAACTTTTTGTTTTTAACTATTTTGGCCACATCTGCGGAGTACCACAGTGGTTTCTTGAATTTTTTGCTTTTACTGACAAGCCTAATGCAATTTTCTGTTGCCTTCAATAGTGCAACTTTTAAATAATCCCATTTCTCTTGGACTCCATTTGAATTGCTCCAGTCTGATAATGACTCCTCTACCCATATTCTAATTTTAGAAAAGTCTGTTTTTCTAAAGTCTAAAACTTTTGTTTTTGTGTGGTGTGACTCAGTCACTGTTCTTATATTAAACCACACTGACTGATGATCACTGGATCCTAAACTTTCACCTACAGTAACATCTGATACCAAATCTCCATTTGTTAACACTAAATCTAGTATGGCCTCTTTACGAGTTGGCTCCTCAACAACTTGCTTTAGAGACAACTCCAGTAGGGAGTTTAGAATATGTGTGCTCCTGGCACAAGTAGCTAATTTTGTTTAAGACTCCACTTATTTTTAGCAGGAGACTCATTCTCCCTTTGCTAAGACTTATTTTATTTTCCTGTAAGAATGAAGCTCTTGCCACAGGTTTATTTGTATTAAATGTGGTTTAATCTATTAAGTAACAAGACAATGGAAGAAAGAATACAATGCAACACTAAAAATTGTCATAGAAATATGTAAAATAGGGGGGCGGGGCCTGACCAGCATGGCTGACAGACGTGTGTGTGGTGAGCTCCTCACACAATCCTAGCTAAACCGAGTACAAACAGAGATGCTACCCCTAAAACAGCACCAAATGAGATTGCACACTGAAAATAACTGCTGGGGAGCACAAGCAGACGACTCCGGAGATTCGTCCGCCGTCCTGAAGCCAAACACCACATGTGAGGCCTACTCAGGCGGAGGGACCCATGGGGGAGGAAACGGCCGATCCTCCAACCTGGGACCACCAAGCAAATGCAAGCAACCCCCCCTGTGCACCGGTGGGGGTAATCCCGGTCCCTGCTGGGGAAAAGAAAACAGAGAGCATCTCACCAACACATGCCGCCGCTACCTGCTCCTGGGCCACAACCAACATGGCCGACTGAGCAAGGGAACACCCTGAACCGACATGGGAAACTCGGTTTAATGCTGCCTTCGACAAGATATGTGCAACGTTCTGGAGCCAGATTGCAGCCCGGGCAGAGCAAACGCAGCAGCCTATCACTTACACCATACAGCCCCAGGCGGAATTCCTATCAGCGAACAGCCCAACCGAACTAACACACCCAGCCATGCACATGGAGAATGCTGCAGTGTCTGCCGCATGCCCTTCTTCTGGGCCGGGTACTCACACTAAGGTACCTCTCAAACTTCAGCCATACACCCGGGGATTTATCCGAGAACCGGAAGCACCCCGGGCACATGACCCTCAAAATAGGATCCATGGCACGAGTCCCCTTTACGGCCGAAGGCCGGTGGCACGCAGACTCTGCAAGCCCATGAGCAGCCGGAAACGGCCCAGGCCAGTCAAAAGACCACCTGCCGCGGAAGAATGTGAGTGGAACGGACAGGGCCCCCCCATCGTGGCATGAGGACCTGGCCTCCCAAGACGGCCAGGCGGAGTGGACTGAAGACACTCTCCAACGCCCTCACCTAGACCTGCACAGAAACACTCACTGTACCTAATAGCCTGATCGGAACTAGTGATGTAACTTGCAGCATGTAAATTAACATAGCACTGTACAGCCTCTGATTTATATCGTGCAAGTACCTTCATTACTACCCAGGCACTATAGTCATAGGGGAACTAGATATGTTTTACAAGCATGAGATTCCTCCCCAGCAAGCTACTTAAACCACTGTTTCCCCTACTTATTTATCTACTCGGTGGCTCTTAAATGTAAAAACGATGCAATATCCACCAGAACCTAATCTCTAAACCCAGCAGATATCACACATTGCATATATAAGTTTCACACCTAAGACATGTTTAAGCCTGACAGCCACTATATATATGTGTACTAGCCAGGGTAGAATAAAATGTTCTGTTAAACCTGTTTCTATCTTGCTAACTAACTTAAAATAGTTGCCTACCTAACCTGTTCTCCACTACTCTAGCCTGTAACATTTCAAGATTTATATTACAGCATATAATGAAGCATGTCTCTTTAACACATAAAAAGTGCAATTGTTTCTCATGTCATGGCACTGAATGCAAATGTTTGTCTACATTATCTACATTAAGCTTGCTGATGTTGTCGTGGCAATGCAAGCCTGTATGTTCATCTTTTGTTGCACACCAAAATAAAGATTTACAAAAAAGAAATATGTAAAATATACGCAAAAGCAGGTGAATCCTACCAAATGTGTGTGGGGGCGGGTGGAATTAAAAAAAATACCAGTGCTTATATATATATATATATATATATATATATATGTATATATGTATATATGTAATATATATGTATATATGTAATATGTAATATATATGTAATATATATGTATATATGTAATATATATGTATATATATATATATGTAATATATATATATATATATATATAATATATATATATATATGTAATATATATATGTATATATATATATATATGTAATATATATATGTAATATATATATATATCTAAAACAACTGTCAAAAGTTTCAATAAATAATATTCCTTGGTAACATTTCATGGAAGTGGTTACAAGTATGCAAAACGTTCTTGACAGTACTCAGACTTGACAACACACTTTTCAATATTAGGGCAACAAAAGAATGAATAGATCTGTTTATTATTGGTCAGTATACACTCTATAAGTGGTAATGGTTGCCAAAGACAATATTGCTTATATTACAGTTCTAATCGGTTTTGGAGCAGTTACCAACGGGAGCAGTTTTCCAAAACTTTATAACCATTCAACTGATAAAATGCCCAATACAAACACTCTGGTGGTGACAGTAAACATCCTATAGGGTTGCTCCAATCAACGCATTTGGTTTGAAATGCAGGCTTCCCAAGATCTAACAGCGGCATCAAAGCTTGCCATTATTCATCAGTTTCATTATAAATAAACTCTTGAAGGTAACTTCAACTTAACAAAAACATGTAATTTATGACCGATCAATTCATACATGTTGAAATAACATAAAACCTTTACATATAATTAATAGGAAATATACTGTTGATTTTCATACGGATATTTGCGGTTACCACATTATTACAGTAAATGGGTCACACTTGAAATGGTCATTTATTGCTGTTCTTCGTGAGGTAACATTCTGCATTGGCATTAGCCATTGTCTAGCTGTTTTAGTGCAAATAAATGTGGGGAGACTCTTTAGCTGCAAAACAGATACATCTAATGACTGAGTGCTTTGATTCAGCAGCAGATGGTCTGTTTGCTATGTCTCTATAAAACCTCTGTAACTCTTGTTAAATCAATTACTGTAAGCACTACTTTCTGGAATTTCTCTGGGCTCAATAAAACTGTTATGTGCAACGTCCTGCGAGAAACTTAATTTAGAGTTGTCTTCCCCCAGCATCACATCATTCCCCTCAATTTTACAGAAGTGTATTCCAAGAAACACTATGTATAGTGTCTGCACTAAGATGCAGCCAAGTCTTTAGGCAAATCCCAAATGCCAGGCCTTCCATGCTAGCTCGAACTTATCAGGTTTCTGTGCCAGACTCTCAGCAGCCTGAGACATTGGGCCCATCAAAGTCCTTCTGTTCATTCCAACATTCAGCGGAACTTATTCACAAAATTGAAAATACAGGGAATTGAAAATCGATGCTCTGCCTGTACTGATTGCCTCACTCCCTCTTCCTCCCCACGTACTTACTGATCGCCAACGTTCCTCTGCCGGCGATCGGTCTTCTTCTGAGGGGGACTGTCTATGCTCAGCCCAGACAGTCTGTTATATTTAACATCATACTAAGTGTATTTTTTCTAATTAATTTATATATATATATATATATATATATATATATATACACACACACACATATATTATGATAGAAATACTTAGAGTAAAATTACTCACGTCTATATATAATAACTATATATATATATATATATATTGATTGCATGTGTGTGTATAAATGTATATATAATATAAAAAACTAAAACAATTTAAATTATATAGGTCATTTTATTCTATATACAAAAAAGATACCACCAGGTAAGGTTAACAAACCCTATCAAGTAGTATAAAAAATGGGTTAAAAGGGTAGCAAAAAGGGCATAACCATACGTACAATTAGAAAAGAAAAATAGTAAGGAGAAATCCTCCCGTAACGCGACGAGGGGAATCCTCCCACTAGAGCTACCCCTGAGGAGATGTGTAAATATACAGGCTAGTGTAACTAGAAAAAAACTTTAATAAGACATAAGTTACACATATAAGTTAAACATCCCACATAGTAGAAAAAACTATAAACATGTGTATAAGCTGGATAGTACCAGCAATCAGTCACGATTAAATCAATGCGAGGGCTTGAGACAAAGTTACAACATTTGTAGCAAATATAGTAGTTAATCATGGAAACAGTGTATCATTATGCGCCCACAAGATAGAAAATGTGAATGATTATCACAGAATTAATGTGCTGTGTCCTAGTACATAAATTAACAAAAGATGGCACATAAATCCCCTTACAAATCAAAAAATAATTGTTCAAAAATGCCCCAAAATCTTATAAAAGGTATTCATTTTATTCTAACTGTATTTTTGTTTGTATACTGTACACTTAGAATGAAATTATATATATCTATGTATATCCCCTTAACGACCATGGATGTACTAGGTATGTCCGACAAAAAGCTGTCGTTAAGGACCGCGGATGTACCTAGGACGTCCGCAGCAAATAGGAGCCCTGGACTGGTGATCACGGTCGGGGCGACTGCCGGAGACCCCAGCAGTCCCCCTGCAGCAGCTCTGGCCCTCCAGGGCCATGTGATCACCAATAGGACTCTAGGAGCTGCCAGCAGCGGTATTGTCTGAGCTGTCAGGCAGTCCCCAGGCTGCTAAAAAGTAAAAACAATTATAATAAAATAAATCAATCTATAGTGACCTACCTGGTTTACGACAGCTCGCATTTATAACCAGGCGTAAGTACGAACCATCTTGGGGATTCCCTGCTCAGGTCAGTGGCGGATCCAGAGCCTGATCTCGGGAGGGGCACTTGTAGATTATTTAAATAAATAATCCAGGCACAATGACCACTACAGCTCAGTGTAGTAGTTATGGTGTCAGTAGTGCCAGGATTCCACCCCAGAGTAAGTAGTCATACCGTTTAAGAACAGTTTGACAACTTACCTGGGGTCTGCTGGGATATAGGAGCAGTGGTGTGTGTTAAGGGTGAAGTGTGTGAGTGCGGCAGTGTATGTCAGGGACAGTGTTTGTGGGGCAGTGTGTGTATGGGGACAGTGTTTGTGGGGCAGTGTGTGTATGGGGACAGTGTTTGTGGGGCAGTGTGTGTATGGGGACAGTGTTTGTGGGGCAGTGTGTGTTTGTGGGGCAGTGTGTGTATAGGGGGCAGTGTGTGTATGGGGATAGTGTTTGTGGGGCAGTGTGTGTATGGGGACAGTGTGTGTATGGGAGACTGTGTATGGGGGGGCAGTGTGTATATGGGGACAATGTTTGTGGGGAAGTGTGTGTATGGGGGCAGTGTGTGTGTATGGGGACAGTGTTTGTGGGGCAGTGTGTGTATGGAGAGAGTGTTTGTGGGAAGTGTGTGTATGGGGGCAGTGTGTGTGTATGGGGACAGTGTTTGTGGGGCAGTGTGTGTATGGGGGGCAGTGTTTGTGGGGCAGTGTGTATGGGGACAGTACTAGGAAGTGGTGTATGGGGACAGTAGTTTGTAAAGGTGTGTGTGTAATGGGGGGCAGTGTAATGGGGCTAGCTATGTGTGTGTGTGTAATGGGGCAGTGTGTGTAATGGGGGGCAGTGTGTGTAATAAAGTACCTGTGTGTAATGGGGGGGCACTGTGTGTAATGGGGGGGGCACTGTGTGTAATGGGGGGGGCAGTGTGTGTAATGGGGGCACTGTGTATAATGGGGAAAATGTGTGTAATGGGGGGGCACTGTGTGTAATGGGTGGGCAGTGTGTGTATGGGGGGGGGGAAGGAGGCTTTTAAATAATAATTTTTTTTTATTTTATAAAATAAATATTCTATGTCCCCCCTCCCTTCTTACCTTTATTTAGGAGGAGGGGGGACATATTTCGATCCCTGGTGGTCCCAGTGGTGATTCATTGGTGGTCCCAGTGGTGATTCATTGGTGGTCCCAGTGGTGGTGAGGTGAACTCTAGCCCACGCTCCCGGGCTAGAGTTCACTCTCGCGAGATTTGGAGCGTTGCCGTGGTAACCGCGGCAACGCTCCAAATCTCACGAGAGGAGGACCCGGAGGAGCTGCAGACTGAGCTCCCGGGTCCTCTCACTCCCTCCCTCCCGTGCCGGCTGTCAGCACAGTGCCTGCGGACCGGGGAGGGAGATCTGTGATCTTCCTCCCCGGTCCGCAGGTACATTGCAGGGCTGGCACTTGGGGAATGCCAGCCCTGCGTTAGCCGGCAGGGGGGAATCTCGGGGGGGGCAATTGCCCCGTTGCCCCCCCCCCTGGATCCGCCAATGGCTCAGGTGCGCATGTCTATGTTCAGGGAAGTTTCCTGAACATAGATTAGAGATTAGAGGCTTTCCCTGCTCTGGTGCGTTTGTCTATGTTCGGGGAAGTTTCCCCGAACATTTATGAAGGCACCAGAGCAGGGAATCCCTTAATTCCTCACTTACCGACCAATTTGTTCTACAACCGGATCGTAGGAATGGAAACCGGTCGGTAAGTGAGCAGTGTCTATATTATATATATATATATATTATGAATTGGACATTTTTTTTTATAAAAAAACAAATAAAAATGCTAACTTTGGCTAGCGTTTGTGACTATGCGGCTACTACAAAAGACTGGACATACCCCATTTTGAATACCCTGGGTTGTCTACATTTGAAAATGATATACCATGATGGGGTTATTTCACATTCCTGGGCTACAATATGGTCTCAAAAGAGAACGCAAACCAATCTGGCAACCTGAATCAGGCAAGCCCTATATTGATCCTGCAACCTTAACCCAAAATACTATAAAACCTGTACTTGGGAGGTATTGTTATACTCGGGAGACTTCGCTGAACACATATAAGTGTTTTAAACAGCAAAACTTATCACGACGATGAAATCACCAGTAAATGTGCAGTGCCAACTGAGGAAGCCACATTTTGGCGAAACGCGTTTTGGCACACAATTGGACAATAGTAGAC